CGCTGTCGACGAGGAGCCGGAGAACGGATTCGTCGCCAGCGATCAGCAGGTATGCGTCGACCATGTGTAAAACGTGCTTCTTGATTTGTACCAGTATTTGTATAATCCGTATGTGTCAGCTGGATTGGAATTGGTAATTGGGTCAGGTTGCTCTTTCCGATTTGCAAATCTTCTGCCTTTGTGGAATCTGAAAGATGAACCCTGGGTACTGCATCCAGGAGTACAGATGGCATGCTTTAACATGTGCTTTTGATAAGGTTTGGTACAAGATATAGAGAAGATAAGGCATCTTTTGCCCATCTTCTATGCTCCCTGTCCCTGACCTGAAACCTGATTGGTGTAATTTGTTGGTACTCAGTAGCCCGGTGCCTTCCTTTCTGAAGTTTTTTTTTTCCCAATCCATCTGTGTTCTTCACGTTCTTCCTCAGTCCAAAATTCAGACACGTCACTAACTCTTTCCACGAGTACCTACGCGGTACCCTATGTGATGATTGAAGGTAACAAGTCACAGAGCACAATTGTGGATAGAATTGACAGCAATTAGTAAACAAAGCAGATAAGGATGGATGGGTCTTTTAGGCAGGGCCGGCCCTGAGTTTTTTTTGGCCCGGGGAGAAACCAATTTCCGGGGCCCTTTAAGTACATGACAGTGACAATACTTATACATAAAAATACATATGCAATGTCAATGATATACACATAATTTCATATGCAATAACAACATTCATATAAAACAATTCATACATATAAATTATCTTTAAAACTTATGGATAGACCCTTTTTGTGATTGTATCAACTCATTTACTCGTGTGTGTTTTTCTTTTTTCACTGCCGGAAGCTTACTTTCTTGATGACATGATACTCTTACAATTTGGAGAACGAATTAACCAAAAAAAATAACACCAATCTGGTAATTCACATTAACTTAAATATGAAATTAAATCAATTTTTGTCTGGTTGCACCCTAATTTTAATTGAGCACGAGCAAAGAATCAGCGATTACGCATTATGCTTCAATGCTATAATGGTGAGGGCACTCCTGCAATCAGTCAAACTCATCCAATATAAATATATAATCACGTTCAATTCCAGAGCATAATAGGCCAGCTGAGGACGTAGAAACCTATTCTGATTAAATCGCCGGCACTGGCATCGGGTTTTTGTGGACTTGGTCTGCATACCTAGATCATACTCACACGGAGCAGAACTGCAGAAGCTTGCTACTTGCATCTTTTTTTTGACAAATGCTACTTGCGTCTTGGTATCTCGGTGAATCGCGCCTTGCGTTGCGTCGCTGCCGTCTCATGTGCGTGGTCCGCGGACAGTGATTCACGTCTCGCATCACCGCCGTGCAGGAGTCGAGGTCGAGGAGAGCGCGTATCGGTGTGTTCGTGTCACCCGCGAACTGGCCGGGTGGGGATAGCTTCTCGTGGTCGCAGATGCCAACTGCGTCCTTGGGCAGGCTGACAACGCTGCTGGGCCTTGATTGCTAACATGTCAAATACATATACCTGTGTTGTGTACATACCTTAGGGTGGGGCCCCTTGGAGTTGGGGGCCCAGGGAGGCCGCCCCGCTTGCCCGCCCCCAGGGCCGGCCCTGCTTTTAGGTCAATGGGTTTGGTTGCTGATTTCCTGGGTTGACTGCCTGATAAGCTGATGGTTGTAGTACATAGTAACGTGCTTTCATCAAGAATGTTAGTGCCAATCTTCCGGTATTAGTTTAGTATAATACCTTTGCTTTCTGTGTCAAAGGGTGAGACCCAATGATTAGGAGCCTCTCCTGGTCTTTACTGCACTTTGTTTTATATATATACAAACCAAAATTGCTGTCTTTGGCATGGTCAATGCGGATAGGATTAAATTTGTACACTGCCTCCAGGGCCAATGCTACACTGATGCTGCTGTGCTTCTCAGTTCAACTAAAGTATTTTCGGTCACTGATGCACATGGACACTGAAAGTAAGCCATTAATTTTGCAGGCAGTTGACTTTCCTGGAGGGAAAGTTTCTTTTGTGGCTGAAATGAACTTCCTTCCAGACTCGATGAAGGAAAGGATCAACTGCTACCGTGTGCTTGACGATGACGGCAGAACTATATCAGGCAGTAGATTCCAAGAGGTACGCTGCTGCTCACCACACCATTTTGAGAAATTCTCTGCAAACATGCTGCGAGGGAAACTTGTTCTGAAGACTAATGTTATTCACCCTTGTCAGGTCAGTAAGGAGTTGGCTCTGAAAATGTACACCGAGATGGTCACCCTCCAGATCATGGATACCATCTTCTATGAGGCTCAGAGGCAGGGTAGAATCTCGTTTTATCTCACTTCCAATGGCGAGGAAGCAATCAACATAGCCTCTGCTGCTGCGCTCGGTATGGATGACATTGTGCTGCCTCAGGTACAACATCAGTTACTCCACTTTTCTGAAGCTTAATCTAGCAAAAAAAAATATTTCCATCAATTGATTTACCCACTGTCCTTTCTTCGCTGCAACCTGTGGAGCCAAAATATAGTACAGGGAACCTGGCGTTCTTCTATGGCGTGGCTTCACTCTGCAGGAATTTGCAAACCAGTGCTTTGGGAACAAGCTGGACTATGGTAAAGGGAGGCAGATGCCCATTCATTATGGCTCGAACCGTCTGAATTATTTCACAGTCTCATCACCTATTGCGTAAGTCTGAAGTATCTCTTCCACGTCGGAAAGATCTTGCAAGTGAAGGACATATGTTTCATTCTTTATTATTTCCCAGAACACAGCTCCCTCATGCTGTTGGAGCTGCCTACTCTCTGAAGATGGACAAAAAGGACGCATGTGCCATCACATACTTTGGCGATGGTGGCACAAGTGAGGTAGATGAAAACTCACCAGCCACTGATCATTTGTTTGGCAGTACCATTATATCCAGCCTTCCTGACAGATGAAACTGTTCAGGGAGACTTCCATGCAGCGCTCAACTTTGCAGCTGTTATGGAGGCACCGGTGATCTTCTTCTGCCGTAACAATGGCTGGGCCATCAGCACCCCAACTACTGAACAATTCAGAAGTAGTGAAACGTGTCTTCTTACTGATCCATGGCAGTTACACAAGTGAACAATCCAATGTCGTGTTAAAATGCAAGTGTTGTTTCAGGTGATGGAGTTGTTATCCGTGGCCAGGCTTATGGGATCCGTGGTATCCGAGTAGATGGCAATGATGCTCTTGCTGTGTACAGCGCAGTCCATGCTGCCCGAGAAATGGCTATAACTGAAGGAAGACCTATTTTAGTTGAGGTGCTCAGTAGTTCAATGGAGTTACATTACCTGAAACAAAAACTTCAGGATATAATTAATCTGAGTAATGACTAATGAGATTTCAGGCACTTACATATCGAGTTGGTCATCACTCGACGTCCGATGATTCAACCAAGTACAGGCCAGTTGATGAGATTGAGCATTGGCGAACAGAGAGGGATCCAATTTCCAGATACAGAAAATGGGTTCAGGGTAATGACTGGTGGTCTGATGCTGAAGAATCCGAGCTCAGGAGCAGAGTCAGAAAAGAGGTACTGCACAAAGATTCATCTTTCCAGCACACTGTGATACATCATACATGACATCTGAAACTGCCTGTTAACTTCTGTGCAGCTTCTTCAAGCCATCCAGGCTGCAGAAAGAATGCCAAAAAAACCACCAGTTACTGAGCTTTTCACTGATGTTTACGATAAGATTCCTTCCAACCTGCGTGAACAAGAGCAATTTCATGGATACAATCATGAAGCACCCTGCAGACTACCCAACTGATGTACCCGTTTAGTTTTCTTGCCCTTGATGAGCAATATCGTTGTGTAATTATTGATGATTCAGGTCCATAGCATTTTAAATAATATAGTGATTCAGCCAGTAAACTGCTGATTCAACAGGTTCTTAAACAATAATTCAACCTGGCAGATGCTACACCAAGCTCATAGATGCATTGCCCTGTTGCTGGCATTTATGTGAAATATAGCCATACTAAGATATTTCATCGCCTGCACAACGTACCTTATAGTAATATCTGCTAAAGCTACATATAAAATATTAGTAAGCAAAGAGGCAGATCGTTTCAAATGATTCCCTATTGTAGCTAACTTAAATTAAATGGCCTACAGTCATAATTTGCCATATAAAGCGGAAACTCTGCAAACAAGATTCTTGAGAATAAAACATTGTAGAGCAAAACAGGCAAAAGAGACGATACCTTGTTTGTGTTAAGGTGGAGAAAAAGCAAAGATTGGATGATTGGAGCACATAATGAATATCAGACCTACAATTTCAAATTCATCTCTCAAGGCCCTATATCAACAATTGTTAACCTAAAATTTCCATGCTAATAATACTAAATACACACTGATATTCTGAAAACTACATCGGAAATAGAACCGCAAATATCTCATACAAAGCCTATGCTTTTGCCCCAGATGTAGTTACAACTTACAGCAACAAGCATATGTTGTATGGTTCCTCACATCTGTCTCAAACATATTTTCCCCTATCTTCTCACATCATAATCACTTATCTATCATTTTTACTATTGGATTGAGTGGGATTCATTCTAATATTTTTCTGAACTAAAGGTATGAAGTTACAAATACTAATTCAACAGATTTTTCTAGAAAGATGAAAAATGCACATAGAATCTCTCTTTGTTCTTTCTCTTCCTAGGCACTTTGCGTGCTTCTTTTTGTTTCTTGTCGGTCTATTTTGTTCTGTATTTTTTTCAGGTCACATCCCCTTCTCTTAATGAAACACTTGCATAGCACGTTCTCTAAAAAAAGTCCAATTGGATAAATTCATATCCATTTATTGAGACAAGGACATGCGAGTACGTGACTGGCATATGACTCACACGATACAATAGCATATGGTACAAGTACAGCAGGATTGTTATACTTTTCCGCACATCAAGATTGTGCAAAACTAATATTAAGATTCAAACAGGAAATTTCATAACAAATTCTGCGACTGCTCCATGAGCACAGCAGCCTATTGTTCCTCCTTCATAGCCTCTTGAACCGCCTTTAGAACAAGTGGCATTAAATGTTTATTTGTTGCAATAATTCCTCTTTCACGATCAAGGTGTCTACCTTTTGAAAAATCCAAATCGTTTCCTGAGGCATCTTTTACCATGCCACCAGCTTCTGCAAACACCAGATAGGGGGCATTAGTAAATAGATTTAATTGTCTCCTGGAATAGAATTATATTCCATACCTGTGACAACAATTGATCCAGCTGCATGATCCCAAACTGTTTCTATGTACTTTTTGTGCGGAATGCGCAGAAAAATGGCACCATCACCACGTGCTAGGGCACCATATTTTGCTTGGCTATCCATTCTAACAGGTGGAGCTTGGACACCAAGTTTCTAATTACATAAGAACAAAGGATTCACTTATATAATTAATCGAGATCTCTGGGCTAAGAAAATAATAATTAAGGACCAACCTCTGCAATGGAGCTAGTTAAATCACGCTTGAGTGTGATGCTTCAAAGGATTCAAAGAATGAGGCGTCGACTGGATTATCAATGGAGCAAACACTAATCTAAAATGTAAGTTAGAAAAGAAAGAATATTAAATAAGAAATAAACTTATTTAAAACAGGAAGTGGTTATGTTCATGAACCAAATATGAACTTCTGAAAATTGAAGTACTTATATTCATGGCCTAAATCAAAAAGCATTGATTACCTTTTCTGGCTCAGATCCTTCTAAGGCCTCAACTTGCGCTCCACAACCAATTGTAGCAAAAAAGAGGGAACCTATTTGATCCCCAGAAGAGCTACAATTGTTCTTGTTTGTTGATTTTAATGGAAGATTTGGACATCCCAACACACCCAGAACAACTTTGCCCTCATCAAGTAGTCCAAGTGCAACTGCATACTGATCTCCCCTTATGAAACTGCATCAAATTTTTCAGTATAAGAATCTCAATTAAAATAAACATTAAGGCATATTAAACACAGGCCCTGCATTGTCAATAGCTTTTGATCGAATGGCACCAATTGAAATAACTCTTATTACCTCTTCAAAATCATCTCCAAAAATCAAATTCAACTTTGTTTATCTTATGCATTTCATAATTAACCAGGTATGTGAATGGAGAAGCAATGCAAGTACTAGTAAACATTTCAACTCTGTGAGCTGTTGCATTTTGTATATAGAAAGCAAATAGATCAAATCATATAAAGTCATCGTTAATAAGTCAAGTCATCTGATGCATCTAGTTTGCAGAAAAAAAGGGATATCACTGTGCTCTCCCATGTAAAGTTCTTCCATGACTCCATGCTGGTGTAATGACTTCCAACTAGGAAACCAGAGATAAATTGTACATCAATGGTAAAGGATAACACTAAGTATGCTAGTATAATTTGGCAGGCCTAATTTTGCCAAACCTGAGTATATGTACTACGAGATAAGCTATAATTAGTTGGTAAAACATGAAATTAGTAGGTGTAAGTTATCAAACTCACCCTTTAGTGCCATCTATTGGGTCCAATATCCAATGTCGCCCAGATGGACCTCCCTCAGATTTACCACCATCAATTGCAGCAAGCACATCTTCCTTAGATAACGACATGTTGTATGAACCATCATTTACGATGGTTTCATTTACGAGGGTGGTAATGTGTTCTAGAATTTCTTGGGCACCATCTTCTCTCAAGTCTTTTGAATCCTGTAAAAGTACAAATTTACAATTAACCAATTAATTACAGGAAAATGACTTGAAAAAAAAAACAGGAAAATGCTTATGTGATCTGTGTACAATAACAAGACAGTGAAGCATATGCTGGTCACCTCTTCAGCTACGATTGAGAAAGAGTGAGCAGGTAATTCCTTCTTCAGGACCAGACATACCAATACCTGTGATCCTGGTCGCGAAACCAAGAGTAGCAATTAAATTAAAAGTTCAGAATAAGCAGAAGGCCACATGTCTAGTTTTCATTCTGAGAGGGCTCCAACTGATGGAGAACGTATCATAGACATGCTCTCCACATTCTTGTATAAATTAGTATGCTCATGTACCATAATCCGCGACGGTAACAGGAGTCCTGTCTGCCTTCGATTGAATGTCAGACTGCAAGATGCCCCGCTGCACTCTCTGAAGAAACATTGGGAAACATAGGGGAAGAGGAAACAAGTAAATACAAAGGGAATTTGGAATCATCCAGTCCAAGAAAATACAGAAACTAGAGCAAAATGATTCAGTCAGTGACTTGATCTCAATATCAAATGCCAAATTTTTCTCCACATCTAGCATCAGAGAACAATGCCCCTGCCAAGTCATGACTCCCCCATTTCTGTCACAGTTTTTAATCCCAAGAAATACAGACTCAACCCTAGAAGCTTGCCATGTTTTCCCCCAAATTGATGCTCCAACAATTCAGAAGATGCCTTGTTAAAAAAACAATTCAGAAGATGCAACTTGAGCTAACTGCTTCAGAGTATAGAGTTTCAGTAAGGGATTGCATTTTTAATGTGGCCCATAAGCATCGTGCATTTCGTGTATATTTCGTATTTCCTCCTCCCAAGTATATTTTCATTTTTTTCCCCAGAAATAACTGAAGCACCATCTTTTCCCCAGTGCAAGTTACAACTATTCAGGAATTTACAAACTAAATAAATATTATCCATCCAACGAAACTCCGAACACATAAACTTGGTACGATAATATGCCCGAGCAAATGTACCAACGAACAAACTACCAAAGGGAGCGCGGAGCGGATGCCGGAAGGAACAGGCCGCCAACAGAGAGGGAGATCTAGGATGAGACCAAGTAACCTGGCAGAGGCGGGCCGCTAGGGCGACGGCCTTCTTGGCTGCGGCGAGCTCTGCGGCGTACGGGTTTCCGGCGACCTCCGGAGCATGCGACATGGTGGCGGGCGGGGCGCGTGACAAAACAAATCTGGGAAACAACTTCGGTTAGTCGAGTCTGTTGTGACGTGTGGCCCAACGAGGAGAATCTCCCAGAGGGTCATATTTTCCCATTTATGAAATGCTAAGCTTACAACATCTTCGAGAGTTCTCTAAATATTTCTCTTAAAAAATTTATGTTTACTAACTTTTAAAAATATTTTAGGAGAAAAAAAGAAAGTCATCTCTAATAGTTCATAATATTTGACTTCTAAAAAATTAAATGTTGTTCCCATTTGACGTTTTTTTCTGCAGTCTTTTTTTTCCACGCAAACCTCTACGTCGCCACACGTATCCACGCCGCCACCACCTGCATCCGTCGTGTTGCCCTACCCTGCACCTCCCAGCCGGCCGTGATCTCCTCCCAGCCAGCCATGAGCACCTCAGAGCAGGCTGACAGCACATCCTAGGCACAGGGCGCAGGCAGCACCTCCCAGTAAGCCAGCCATGGCTGCTGAGAAATATCTGTTGCAAAGAGAATTAGAACATGTTTGCAGCTGCAATTGTTAAAACATATTTAAATAAAAAAGAAAGACATGTTGTATGTTCGTTTGGCTGTGGCTTGTCGTAAATGATCGTAAATTTTCAGCCGGAACAGTATTTTTCTCTCACACAAACCAGCCAGCAGTACTTCTTCACGAACCAGCAACGATACGAACCAGCCAACCGAACAGGCTGATGGTGGTTATGTCCCAGACCATAAAGTAATTTATCGAGATAGAGAAGGCATGCACCAAAGGATGTTTTAAGATTACTTGGCTGATGATCTGACATACGGGCCAAATTTATTTCGTCGAAGGTTCGTGTGCATTCACCTGTGATATGTACATAATACGCTAGGTAATTGTTGTAAGATTTATTTTATTTTTTAATTTCAGGTACAGGATGAGTTGGGATCTTTTCTTACGCATAATGAATATTGTAGAATCATACGATGACTACTTTGTGCAAAAAAAGGAGTGCATCCAATGTTCTTGGATTAAGTTGCTTCAAAACGTCACATCAGCATTTCATATACTAACATATGGAGTTCCAGCTAATGCTACGGATGAGTATGTTCGCATTGGAGAAAGTATTGCAATTGAGAGTTTACGTAGGTTTGTTGCTACAGTTGTTGATTTATTTGATGATGAATACCTGAGATATCCTAATGAGGCTGACACAACATGCTTACTAGCACTCGGTGAGCAAAATGGTTTTCCTGGTATGTTAGGGTCCATCGATGCATTGAGCGTGAAAGAATTGTCCTCTAGAATGGCGGGGTCAGTGCAAGGGGCATATGGAGGAGCCCACTATTATTTTAGAGGTTGTTGCTTCCAACGATATTTGGATATGGCATGCCTTTTTTTGAATGACTGGGTCTCATAATGATATTAATGTGCTTCACAGGTCTCCTTTATTTGCTAAGCTGACAGAGCAGAGCTCCTGAGGTGAACTATTCCATAAATGGTCATGATTACACGATGGGTTATTATCTAGCCGATGGTATATACCCATCATGGGCTACTTTAGTAAAGTCCATCTCTCAGCCTACGGGGAACAAGAACAAATATTTTGCCAAAGCACAGGAAGCAGCAAGGAAGGATGTCGAAAGAGATTTGAGGGTTCTGCAATCAAGGTTCGCCATTGTTTGAGGAGCAACTCGTTTATGGGACATAGAGACACTTGGCAACATCATAAAAGCTTGTGTCATTATGCACAATATGGTTGTCGAAGATGAGGAAGTCGTTGACCCTACTGAGCGGTTCAACTATGGTGGCCAAAATGTGAAACATTCTCATGAGAGTAATCGCACCCTTGATGAATTCATTGAAGCGCATAAAAGGATCAGAGACAAGGAAACACACCAGCGGTTAAAAACAGACCTCATCGAGAACCTCTGGCAGCATTTTCCTGATAAAACTGAATCCAAGAACGTCTGGGCCACCTTCTGAGCAGGATAGGGATGGTGGAGTGGAATAAAATGGGCAAACTTACTAAATTTGTCAACTACCACCATGATACAGTTGGCATTACCAGAAGTAGGGAGGCCATCGATGAAGTCCATGCTCACAATTTGCCAAGACTCAGATGGAACCGGCAGAGGAGAGAGTATCGGTACTACCTGACTACAATAGGTTGAGCCCATGGTACCAATGGGATGGAGTGGTCACAGGGTCGCTACGGAGGAAGGGAAGATGGCTCTATGAAAAGGTGGCTGAACTCATCCAGAAGGTCTTGAACCTGTGGAAGGATGCAAGCAATGGACTCTGCAGCATCTAAAGCAATGTTGAAGATCTGCAACATTGAGCATTCAGATTTTGAAGATATCAGACCCTGTAGCAGAACTGTTCCAAACCGATAAGGGAGAAGCATCCACTTGTCCTTCCAATTAATCTTCATGGGTGAAAAGCTTCAAGCCAATGCATACCAAGAATTAGATCATAAGAGCCCAACTGAATGATCCAGAGGGTAGAATGAAAACTGTGACCCTAAACTTCCCACTCCACATTAGACAGCTCTGACTCACAGGTTAGCAGATTACCATCATCCACATGAAGAACCATTGGAGAGGCAAGCAGTTTGTGTCCCGGAAGAGAACTAGCCACTGGAGTACTAACAAAAGAATGGCTACTGCCAGAGTCGACTAAAATAAGAACGTTGTAGCCTGTGATAGAACCAGTGAACTGCATAGTAAGGAGAGCTTGGTTATCTGATAGAGCTACAACTAACAGAGTTAAGAACAACTATGCTGGTGTCTCTAGCTCGGTAGGTTGTTCAACCAAGCCGAGACAATAATTTCATCCTCATTCGGAATGAATTTTTTTTGCCTCTTGGCGTTTGGGCTTGGAACGCGTGGGCGTTTATTACCACCAGCACTGGACTGCACTTCTACAACTTCAACACCTGCTGCTGCCTGCACTTCATCTTCTTCAAGACCAACTCCTACCTGCACGTCCTCATATGCCTGCGTTTCCTGTGTCATGGGAAAGCTAAACTCGTCCAAAGAACGAACACCCTCAAATCTCGTGACCAAGTCAGTCCAATATCCACCACCGAACATTGTGAGGGGCCTGCAAATATGAACAAAGAAATCAATACCAAATGCCATGTAGAAGCAAATTATGTTCACAACATCATAACTCTAACAATCTGAAAGTAATATTCAGAAAGAAAAAAATCTAAAAGTAATGTTTACAACTTCATAACCATCACAACCAAGATACACTACAGGTGCCCAGCAGCTGGCCAGTGGCATCATAACCTGGTGAACAGTACCATGCAAGCAGACACACAGTGTCATCGATCAAACAGCGGTAGCAGGTTGGCTAGCGGGCACCCACAGCCGACCACAGGGTGCCATGGCCCAGCACACAAATGCATCAGCCCACCATGGCCTGGCACAGAGGCAGCATCTGGCCATGACCTAGCACGGCAAGCAGATAGGGACGGCTTCTGATCCAATGACACAAGAACGTAACAGCAGATCGATCCAAAAGAGCATGGCCATGGCAAAATATAGGGACGGCGGCTGTTGATATTTCTTATGCTCAAGTAGATAACTCTGCAAGTGCATAGAATATCGTTATAGCATTTCACCCAGGAGTATTCCAGGGTATCATATTTATCCACAGGGAAGCAATGGATAAAGATGGTGATAGTTAACCATCACGTATTTGCTAGCTAGTATACCGACTAGACTAAAGTATGGGTAAGTGATATACAATAAAGTGGGGAGACACATAGAAGATCCACTCATGAAAAGGTAAAGGTAACATAACTAAATAGGAGGACAATAAAAAAGAGAGCACAAGAATCCTAAAGTACTTCTATTCAAGCACAACTCTAGCAACATACTTTGATAATACATATGAACCAAGAATAGCAGTGCAAGGTAAGATGCAATCACACTTCGAGGCGTACTTGCCTTGAAATTAACCAGGCACAAAGCACAACGAGCCCTATGATTTAATAACTAGGCCTAACATTGGGGAATACATATGATAGACAAGGTTGTCACCATCTATCAACTACCCCAATCCATCCGGGGGCCTAGCCACATTCCAAGGTACCCCATAGTATAAGCACCACGCTTACACTATTTGATACTACCCTAGCTTGATCAAGACTAGAGCACCAGCTAGTGATGAAGTACCCATTGAAAGGTCCTAATGGCTAGAGGGGGGTGAATAGCCTATTAAAAATTTCTACAACAATACTTAACAAACCGGTTAGATAATTATGAGGCGAAGCAAGTGTTGCGCTAGCCTACTAAAAATGCAAGCAACCTACCACAATTCTAGTTTCTATAGTTTCTATCCACACAATGGCTATGTCACTACACTAAGTTAGTGTGCTCTCAAAGACTAACTAAAGAGCCACACTAACCAAACTAACAAGCTCTCACAACTAGCTACACTAAAGAGCTTGATAACTAGTTTGCGGTAATGTAAAGAGAGTGAGCAAGATGGTTATACCGCCAAGTCGAGAAGTGAACCAATCAATCACAAGAATGAATACCAATGAAGACCAATCACCTCGGAATCAAATGATGATACAATGATTTTTTACCGAGGTTCACTTGCTTGCCGGCAAGCTAGTCCTCGTTGTGGTGATTCACTCACTTGGAGGTTCACACGCTAATTGGCATCACACGTCAAACCCTCAATAGGGTGCCGCACAACCAACACAAGATGAGGATCACACAAGCCACGAGCAATTCACTAGAGTACCTTTTGACTCTCTGCCGGGGAAAGGTTAAGAACTGTAACACCCCGGTGTTATGCCTGCATTTAGGCATTGCTAATCATACATATCGTGCATCATCAAGCATCCTATTCATACATGCGTAATCTTGCATATAACAACTGAAACATTACTTCGAAACATACAAAACATGTTTGTGAAAAGTAAATGATGCATACACTTATTAGAATTGTTTTGCCCTGAAATTTTCTTGCTAGGTTAGTAAAACATGTTTG